AAGTCTCGTAACTCGTCGCCCGTGTGTGTGATGATGCTGCAAAAACATGCATTCTCAAGGTCATGAGGAGCTTTATTAGTTTATGCAGGAACCATCGTTGGATCGCTTGTCCATTTTGCTCGACGAATTTTTCAATTCTGTAATTTTCCTATGTAAATGTAAATTCCGCCCAGGTGTTTGACTTGAATAATGTATGACAGATTTGACCACCGAAATTCTCAGAACCTCTTAATAGTAATATTTATTAAGTGTACAAGGTATTCTATTTATAAGTCATTGTAATTATGAGATTACATGCGGTATAAAAGAAATCAAATATTAAGTGCTAAGGGTATTATTTACCTGAGTACCTGATTTTATCCAATCATCTTCGTTCGATGATTGTGATTGGCTGCCAACTGGGCGGAAATTACATGAATCACCTGTTAGTCCGTGTCAGTCAACCCACGGCCACTGTTGCTCTATGAACTCCACTTCAGTGCGCGTCTGTACGAGGCCACACACGCTTCATACCTACATTTTAGGATACACATACATTACAATTTAACACACGTAGGTGGGGGTACCTCGATTTGGCGTCTTGTGTCGTCCAGGTACGGTCGCTGATGCCCGCCGCGCGGTTGACGAACTCTGCAAGCATGCGGCAGCCATTCGCTTTGGTCAACTTCTGGCCTCCCTTCATGGCCTTGCCTTTCGTAGCTTGGCCAGTCATAAGTGCGAACTTGGATGGCACCCGAAGGAATTCTAGCATCACCAGGCGTTCGGCCCGAGTTGCCGTGGCTCGCTTCGTAGATGTAAGTTGAAATATGTTGTGTTTCCTTGTGCTTCTATGCCACTGAATAACAGGCATCATGTGATTGGTTAGGTAACCCCCATTTCCTCAACTTCGAGTTGCGTTTGATTCTTAAAAACCAAAAGCACCTCGAGAGGTGCTTCTGGTTTTCATGACGAAAAGCAGTTTTCGAAAAGCAGAATCATAAATTGAAATGTGAAAAAAATCCTAAATTAACTCCCCCTAATCTCTCGGGGCAAAGTCGTCTCTTAGTGCAACATGTCGTTGCGTTACTGGTACTAGTAAGTACGTACCAGTCTGTAGTCTGTACTACACCATTTTGCGTTTACTGTTAATTCCAGCTTATTTTCAATATATTTCCACCAACCTCCGATATATTTCACCGAATCGCCAATATAATTCACCCAACCTCCATTATATTCACGTCGATGTAAAACATCGGCGATATATTTCACCCAACCTCTGTTATAACCCAACCTACGTTTAATTCCAACTTTAGAAAATATAATTCACCTAACAGATGTTATAATTCGGGCTGGGATTTTTGAATCTGCACTCTATGGAAGAGGCCATCCCTGCACCACAAACTCCGGTACGTCTCTCTGTTGACCGCTAACATGATGTTTCAAGACGCTTCGTTCTTAAAACTAGGGCCGTACTCCCTGATGTTGAACCCGATCGAGAATATGTGGCCGGCGTTGAAGAGCCGCATTAAGACATCTTTGCGCGAAGGAGTCGCGGCCTTTATGGGGCCACCGCCAGACGGACAGACTTGAAATGTGTTTCGCATGCAATACTTGGAACACACAGCTGACGAGGCAATTGCAGGTACTGTATTCAGTGCATTTATATTGTATTTAACTTAACAATGAATTAGGAATTGAGCCGAATCGTTTGCATGTCTACATGGCCCGCCTTGAACCGTTTTATGTCCGTGCTGAGAACTTGGAAGACTTGGACGTTGGTGTTTGAGCCGTAGATGTCGTAGATGTGTTGCTTGTGATGGTTTTAATTTACTTTCCATTAAATATACCGGTGGTCAGGTGAAATATATTTTTCGAAAGGTGAAATTAACCGTTGGTTGGGTGAATTATGTCGGAGGTTGGGTGAAATGTAATGGCCAAATTTCAATTCCGCGTGAAATATATGGAGGTTCGGTGAATTCAAATGGGTGTTAGGTGAAATATATCGGAGGTTGGTGGAAATATTTAAAAAAAGCTGAAATTAAACGCAAAATGGTGTAGTAAAAGGATACGAGTTCCATCATCGTTATTGTACAGTACATCATAATATAGCTACCCAGTTAGCATTTAACGTTTGCATTGATTTGATATAAGGTGGTTGGTGAAGGAGGGGGTTATTTTTGGCGCGGTAAAACACCCAAAGTATCATATCCTGCGAAGTGTATCTACAAAGTTGTTTGGATGCAAGTTGAACTTGCATCCAAACAACTTTGAATTATGGAAGAATGATTCGATTTCCGATTGTGAAGTGCAAGACTTCTGTCAACGTGAACACAAACCGCCATAAAACACCCGATTCTCAAGAAAATTGTGGCATAAATGTTTAAACTTTATTCCAGTTTTTCGAGATTTTGTGGCATCCAGACGCACAAAATCTCGAAAAATGGAATATTTCGAATTTGGCAACTTTTCTAGGAAAAGCTGCCGTTTTCTTGGAAAAACGACCATTTTATGCCATTTATATATATTAATAGCATCCAGACGCGACCTTATTTTACCTTACAGTTAGTACAGTACAGTTTAGATGTGTATTCAAATCAATACTATTGGTCATAATTCTTATTCGAATGTACGAATAGTATACGATC